ACCTTTTGCATTTGTGTCAATTTAGTCCTAAACCTTTTTGGTGCCAATTCGATTAAACCTTTTAAATTGGTGCCAATTCAGTCTTAAACCTTTTGTTTTTGTGCCAATTTAGTCATTCGGTCAATTTTGACCGGAATTTTGACGTGACGCCTCCGCGGCGCGGCGTCACCAGCCAACGTGGCGTGACATGATAAATTTAATAATATTTTAATATTTTTTGAATTTTTTTTTTTTTTTCCTTTTTTTTTTGGTTTTGCACTTTTTTTGTCCCCTCTCTCCTTCCTCGGCCGGTCGCCGGTCCGGCGACCGGCCAGGCCGAGGCCGGCGAGCTCGACCTCGCCGCCACGGCGAGGGCGGCGGCCTCGCCCGGCAGGGCTGGCCTCGCCTTGGTCGGGCGAGGCTCGAGCCTCGCCGGAGGCCGCAGCGAGGGCGAGCCTTGCCATGGTCGGGCGAGGCCCGCCTCGCCGGATCGCGAGGTCGAGCCTCGCCCGGCGACCTCGCCGGATCCGGCGAGGTCGGGCCTCGCCAAACCATGGCGACAGCGAGGCCCGACCAAGGCGAGGCTCGCCCTCGCTAGGCGAGGCCTACGGCGGTCGCCGGACCGGCGACCGGCCGAGGAAGGAGGGGGGACCAAAAAAAAAGAAAAAAGGAAAAAATAAAAATTCAAAAAATATTAAAATATTATTAAAGTTGTCCACGTCGGCGCCGACGTGGCGACGAGCAGTGCATCCACGTTGGCAAATTCCGATCAAAATTGACCGGAAGGACTAAATTGACACAAAATAAAAGGTTTAGGACTGAATTGGCACCAATTTAAAAATTTTAGGACTTAATTGGCACCAAAAAAAGGTTTAAGACTAAATTGGCACCAATGCAAAAGGTTTAGAACTAAATTGGTACTAATGCAAAAGGTTTATGACTTTTTGGCACTTTTCCCCCATTGTACGGCCATCAATTTAGCCCTACACTTTCTAATATGATCAATGTAGTCATAAAACTTTTGATAATTTTTCAATGAAATATTTTAGGCTTATTTAGGCTGAAAATCGCTGACGTGGGATCTAGTCGGTGTCCACGTCCTACGTGGCACGGTTGGCATAGCCAGTTATCTAAAGTGTCCCAATGGAGCTCAAAACGATGTTGTATACAAATTTTTTTTCCATTTCTTGATTTTTTTCCTTCGTCCTAGATTTCGTTTGTGGGGTTCTCGGTGATGGCCAGCAACCCTCATTTGAACCGCTAAGCAGATTTTTGTACGTACTGAAAAATACCTCTCATTGAAGTTGGTCAAACGATGCTCAAAGCTTGCACCGAGCTTTCACTTGTGCAAGACTTTCCCTTCTCGACATGTGTGCACTTGGATCACAAAAGGATTTCGTATTTGGAGATCTCTTTCAATGTTAACGAACTCTAGAAGGCGCAAATAGTTTGGGAGAAATCAATCGACTCATCTATTCTTAGATTGTGTCAAGTGGATTGCCACAAAGGAGTCGGTACCAATGGAGGTTTCTCTTTGTTATAAGGCTTTGATTCTTCTTCTTTTTTTCCCGCTATGCAATAGAGACACTTGTCTAACATTACATTATCGTTTAATGACATTATGTTACCAACGTGAGAACTGTCAAGTCCTAAACTTATCGTACAACCGTCAATTTAGTTATAAACTTTCTAATTTGACTAATGCAGTCATAAAACTTTTGATAATTTTCCAATGAAGTTTTTTAGGCCTATTCAGGTTGGAAATCATCGACGTGGGGTTTAGTCAGCGCCGACGTCCTACGTGGCATGGCCAGCAATCTGACGTGTCTCGACAGAGCTCAAATGAGAAAAAAATTCAATTTTTTAATTTTTTTTTATTTCCTTCATCTTCTTGGACTTCAATTGCTAGAGCCTCAGAGATGGCCAGCGACCCTCGGTCACCATAGGCTAGGGCATCGCAAGCCCTCGCCGGCCACTGGCAAGGGTGGCACAGCCCTTGCTAGATATGGGCGAGGTTCACAACCCTTGCCTTTGGCTAGTGAGGACCCCAAGGCCCTCGCGTGTGGCAAGCGGCCGGTGGAGAAGAAGATGAGCAGTAGAAAAGGAAAGAAAAGAAAAAGAAGAAACAAAAAAGAAACAAAAAGAAAAAAATTCAAAAATTTTTAAAGAAAATTGCAAGACAACTCGCTTCATTTAAGATCATTCACGTCAACCGCCGGCTGTGCCATGTAGGACGGTCGGCACTAGACCGGACCACCACATCAGCGACTTTCGGCCTAAATCTGCCAGGCGAATTACATTAAAAAATCGTGTCGAAATGTTTAGGTCTACATTGGCCAAGACGGAAAGTTTATGATCAAATTGGCGACCCGCACAATAAGTTCAGGATCTTTTGGACAATTTCCCACGTCGGCATCAATTTTGCCGGACAAAATACGTCAATAATTACCATCACCCATCATGAAACTTCCTGCTAACGTCGACGTACGCAACTTCTTGCGGCGTAGGCAACAGTCGCGTGGAAATGGACCTCACGATAACAATAATTTCAGCTGAAGGGATTGCAAGCAAACAGCTTTTCACTTCCTCGTGCGAGCTTCACAGCGACTGAGATCGGGACATATCTGTAAGCGATGAGGAAAGTTCCACCGTATTTCGACCGATTTCTACCGGTCAACCAACTTGTAGACTTAGGACAGCCGTTGGCATCGCAATCCCAGCTAAATTGGAAGATAAGATGAGGAGTTATTACCGCCACACATGGCGGAAGTGGGAAAAGCTATGATTTTCACATCAGTGGGACACACACATGATAATGTAGTTTATACGAATATGGCGATTTTGTTAAAATACTAACATGATTCGCGGCAAATGTGTTAATTAGGTCCGTCCAAACTGAATAATGGAGAAGAGTAATCAAAGCATATCAAGCTCACGTAAAATATTTATTTCCCACAACCGGGCTTACCCACGATTGATTTGATGGTTAATGAGAAAATTGGTGATTAAAACCCTCAAATTAAGAACGGATCAGATTGCTTGCGCAAAATTCTTTATGTGAACTGACTTCTTCGTATGCGGAATTATTATGTCAAAGGAAGTAAATACTATAAAAAAAATTCCCTCTGCCGAAAATTGATAGTCTAATTGGTGTTACTTTTAGCTTTTACTTTTTACGTCTTTTCTTTTTCTTGTTTAACTTTTGATTTTAAACCAGTTGTGGAAAGCTTAAAAAGAATTTTACGTACATAAATGCCGATATGCATATATGGGTGAAAAGCACAAAAAAATCATAAATCTATTGCATTGATACAAATTCAATCCTAAATTTTTTAATTCGATCAATTCAATCATAAATATTTTTGCATTTGTACTAATTGAGTCCATCTGGCTAATTTTAGCTAGAAATAGCTAACATGGATGTCGGCCGTCCTACATGGCATGATTGACGTTGATGTAGATAAATTTTTTTGAATATTTTCTTCTTCTTTTTTCATTATGGCCGGCGAGGGCCTCGCATGCCACTAGCAAGCCTAGGTGAGGGAGGCCATCACCCACCGTCGGCGATGGCTCACAACCATCACCAGCGGCTAGCGAGGGTCCACAAACCCTATCACCGACCAAAATGAAAAAAAATAAAAGAAAAGAAAATTAATAAAAAAATTTAGAAAAAATTATTTAAAACTTGTCAACGTCAGTGCTAGTCATGCCACGCAAGACAATTGAAGTCTATGTTAGCGATTTCCAATCAAAATTGGCTAGATTGACTCAATTGGCATAAATACAAAAGGTTTAGAACTAAATTGATCTAATTAAAAAGTTTAAGATTGAATCGGTATCAATGCAATAGATTTATGACTTTTTCAACACCCCCTCCCGGCATATATGGAGTCATGTGAAAGTTTTCATAATGTTTTGGAAACTTAAGAGTACGGCGGTCTTGAAAGTTTATAGATAAAATCTGGAAAAATAAGCATGGTGGTTTCATTCCCTCTTCAGTAACTTTTCTTGCCGGAAATTTTAGGGTTTACGAACAAATTACGTGGGTAGTGAAATCAACCAAGAGCGACTATTCATGCATCGGTCTGTCTGGCATTCATTTGCATCGGCAGTGCACCGAATACTTCCCGAGTCTCTTATTAGGAAATATTATTGAGTTATTGAGTCGAATTCACACATATGTTGTCAAGTTTGAGCTTGACTCAACTCATGTTTTAGGGGTTCAAAACTCAATTTATCTCGAGCTCGATTGAGTATTGAACTTCTGGCTTAATCTCAGCGCAAATGAGAAGTTAAGACACGACCTTGATTCAACTCAACTCCATTATTATTGTTAAAATAGTTAAATCTTAATCTAACAGTTGGAAATGGTCTGACGATTTTCATATAAGAAGGTCCCGTGTTTAAATTTTTTCAGACCCCTTATTTGCCTCCCTTATTATATATTTTACCGCCTAGTGTTATGCTAAAGTCCAGCCTACGCCCTAGAGAAAGTGTTGAAATATTTAGATATCAAATTATTTATTCATCTAATAGGTTAAACTTTTACAACAGTTGACAATACTGCCACAAATTGTCACAACTTATAAATAAATATTGAATTTAAGGCAGAGCTCAAGTTTAATAAGCTTGAATATTTTTCCCCTCACTTACATGTTTATCAGTATGCTGTGTAATTTTAAGAATTTCTTTGTTTACTCATATAATATCATATGCTTTTGCAAAAAAATAAAATCGTTAAAGTTTGATTAGGCTTTTCGAGCCTGTCAAGCTGAGTATTGACGAGTTCGAGTTCGAGTTCGACTTCGGCTTCGGCTTCGAATCAAGTGTGTCAATCTCGAGTAATAATTGAGCAGATCTCGAAATGCAACTTAATCTAAATATTAAACATGAGAGGTCCCTGGTCATTTACGGCGTCACCAAATGGAAGACCGATTTGATTTGTCAATTTATGATCCTATCTTTTCTTGAGCAACGTCATAGAATTGACTATGGTTTCCACCACACGGAGTTAGATTATCAACTACTTAAAGAACCCCTCGCCAACCTGTGTTGTTGCTGACAAATCTTCCTCATACACACTCTCAGCTTCACTTCACTTCATTCCATAGATTTCGACCTCTTTTCCTCCAACTCATCGATGGAGAAGCCGAAAAAGCTCCATGCGGCGCTCCTCTCGAGCCCCGGCATGGGCCACCTCATCCCCGTCATCGAGCTCGGAAAGCGCCTCGTCGTCCACCACGGCTTTGAGGTGACCGTCTTTGTCCTCTCCTCGCAGGCCTCCCACGCCGAGGCCGAGATAATCGAGTCCACCATGACCCCCAAGCTCCTCAACGTCGTGGAGCTCCCGCCTCCCGACCTCTCGGCTGCGACCCTTGGCCCGGATGCCGGCGTGATCATGAGGCTCGTGGTCATGATGCGCGAGGCCCGGCCGGCGTTCAGGTCCGCACTCGCAGCGATGGAGGCCCGGCCAGATGTCCTCATCGTGGACTTGTTCGGGACGGAGCATCTGTGCACTGGCGAGGAGTTGGGGATCCCCAAGTACGTCTACGTCCCTTCCAATGCGTGGTTTCTTGCGTTGCTCCTACACTCGCCGACGCTAGACAAGGAAGTGAAGGGAGAGTACGTGGACCGGACCGAACCGCTCGAGATCCCGGGTTGCAAGCCGGTCCGACCAGAGGATGTGGTGGACCCGATGCCGGACCGGTTGGACCAACAGTACCGCGAGTACGTGCGGATGGCTGGCGAGACCCCGACGGGAGATGGGATCTTGTTGAATGTGTGGGAGGATTTGCAGGCGGAGACGCTCGCCGCGCTGAGAAATGAGGAGTTCTTGGGCCGGGTTGCGAACGGTCCGGTGTATACGGTTGGGCCGCTCATTAGACCGGTCAGACTGGCCGGTTTGGGGAAGGAGCTGCTGGAATGGTTGGATAAGCAGCCGAGCGAGTCGGTGATATTCGTCTCGTTTGGAAGTGGAGGGACTTTGTCGGCTGAGCAGCTGGTGGAGCTGGCATGGGGATTGGAGCTGAGCCAACAAAGGTACGGTCTGACATTCGTGTATATCAGGTACAAGGCTCTAGATAAAAACCTTTTGCTTTGTTTCGCGAAAAATAAATAATTTAAAAAATATTTTTAAAATAATATTTATAAAAATAAATGGATGAAAATTATTTTATTATTCATGAAAATATTTAGACGTAAATTATTGTCAATAATAAAAATATTTTTCATTGACTAATTATATCAAGCGGGACAAACAATCATTTTTTGAAAAATATTTTCTAAATCATATATTTTTTGTGAAACAAACGGAGCCGTAGAAATAATCATTTTTTCAGGTTACTATGTTCGTGGTATATGGTTTTAAAATTCATAAGGATGATGTTCCTATATGTAATTTTTTATTAAGAGGCCCAATTGTAGGAATTTTTTTTCATTCCTCTAAACAATCTCTGATTAAGAATGGAAGAATATATAGTCATTTTCTTAATCAAAACAAAATCCATTAGCCAACATTAGCTAAAGCGTTGAGGTAGTTTGTGTGTATCCGTAGGAATTAGTAGCCAAATAAATACTCCATGTTATAATAAAAATATTTTTATTAGGACTATTATCAGTGTAAAGAATACATTGCACGTTGTTTACTACGGATTGATATATGGAAGATTGCGTTCACAAAATTAACTCATTGCACGCATGTCAAATCAATTTAACGATGAATGTGTAATTTTTTTCACACTTGCGAATGACCTAATAATAAACCAAGAAGGATAAATTAAAAAGTGTTGCAATTATAGGTTAAGCTTTGCATTAGTGTTATTTGGTTATATACTCGATAAATTCTTTCCTCTTACAAATGTATAATTTCGTAGGTTTATATGGGTACTCCGGCAATCAACAGTCAAATCTCCTGATGGATCCTTCTTTGATGCGTGGAAGGGTGGCGCCGGCGATGAAGTTTTGTGCTTTCTGCCGAATGGATTCACGACACGTACTCGGGAAATAGGATTGATACTCCCATCATGGGCCCCACAAGTGGAAATCTTGAGCCATCCGTCCGTGGGCGGCTTTCTATCTCATTGCGGATGGAACTCAACCCTGGAGAGCATAGTGAACGGAGTGCCCATGATTGCCTGGCCACTGTATGCCGAGCAAAGGCTAAATGCGACGTTCCTCACGGAGGAGATCGGGGTGGCGGTCCGACCAAAGGAGCTGCCGTCGAAGAAGATCGTGGGGAGGGAGGAGATAGAGGAGTTGGTGAGGAGAATAATGAAAGAAGGGCACACGACAAGAGCTAGAGTCAAGGAACTCAAGACTAGCGCAGAAAAGGCCGTGACAAAAGGTGGTAGCTCTTACAAGTCCTTATGTAAAATGAAGGAAGATTGCCACATGAGGATCCACCATATTAAGAAAGCTCGTTAAGGCGTTGCATGCATGTATAACATCAGTAGAATGGATATAATAATGTAGATTCACAATACGAAGCTTGAATTGCCAAAGGTCTTTATCTTGGTACAGGAAATAGTTGCACCTAGATACATCGGGAATAAAGGACATAACTCTTTATGTTTCAAGTTCTTTTCATGGACTTCGATTTGATCAAGTGGGTAGATTAACTTATTACACCTAAGACAAATGGTGTCTTAGTAATTTGACATAGGTGCGTGTCATTTGCATTGATGAGGAGACACAGCTCTCTAGAACAAGCATGGCACTGAAGATTTGGTTGAAGTGTATTGATGATTTAGGACTCCTACACGTTTGTGTATTCAATATGGTGGAGACATTGCTTTCATTACTCTCCCACCGACAGTAGTCATGTATATATGAGCAATTAAGTGTACTCGAATATATTTAACACGAAAAGCCCTACCTCTTAAACCACTATCGCTAGAGTCTACCCATCAATGATTTAGTGGTGCAAACGTCATCGCTCGTGTATGATGTGCTCAGAGAGCGAGAGGGAGGGAGGGAGAGGATGGAAAGAGGCATCGACGGCAAAGATGGTGATCGACGGAGGGAGCCGAGAGCTACGGTGACCGGTTAGACCCGATCCTTTGTCGAACAATCATGAAAATGTCCATAGATGGGTAAGGGTGGGCTTGATTTTTGCAAAAGGGCCATTCTCTTAGGCCCGACCCTTGAAGCCTCTGCAGTTGTTTCCTCCCACCATAAGTATGACAACAATGACTATAAATTTTTTTAAAAATAAATTATAATCTTCTCATTTATAACAAGTCGATGTACCTTAGTGTAGTTCCAATCTTTTCAGATTTTCCTTTAATATTTATCGGGGTGGTGCCATATCAAGCTGCTCCGCCGTTTCCTTGTGTCAAGATGAAAAATGTCCACAAGACTCTTTAAGAAGCGTACGACTTGAACTAGGACTGAACTTAACAATCAAGTGGGGGAGAATCGATTGTTATATCATCTTTTGAACTTTTTCACGCAAAACAACATGTAAACCTTAAAACAGTCTTTGCAGACGAAATATGCAATGCAGAGCAAAGATCTTCGATAAAAAAAAATGTAAAGAGTGATGGGGATAGCACAGATTGTCAAGCTATTGAAAGTGAATTTGGAGAAAAAGTTAGAAGATATTTTTCAGTATTTTTCAAAAGAAGAAGTGCATAGATTTCATTTAGGATTGCGAGTAAAACCATTAGCTCTTGGTAGCAAAACAGCTAATAGTTCCAAACGGTAGGCCCTACTCATCAAGGATCTGTCCCTCTTTTCGGTAGCTCTCTCGCTCAACTCCATTCAACTGGTCCACCGTGACTGCAAGTTGCACCGTGCTTCGCTCGAAAAGACTTGCCGTCAATGAGAGGAGAGTGCACAGCATCGAGGGAGACAGCAATCTCTATAATGCATACGGCCCATTCATGCATGCGTCCATTGACTATGCTCCAGCATTTAATAGGGATGTCGCAAGTTGGAAAATTGTTGGAAAGCAAACTCATGGCACTTTTCAGGATGGTTGTAACCATCAAACTTTCAATATATCCAGCTTCAGATAGCACGTAATCTGTGTGTTTTTACATGTCGGTCCATCGTTCATCAATATAACAAAAGGGCCTTCGAGTTTTGCCCTCAACTTCAATCCTTCGTCAAAGGCATGCGTATGTGAGGGTGGTTATATAAATTTGCGCGCCGAGCCATATTCAGTCAGGCAATTATGCGAATGAAGAAAGGCTCTCATTTGTCGAATGCAATGCAAGGACTTTCGAGAAAGAGCTCGGCCAAGTGGCCGATGTTGCCCACAATCAATGACTTGACCTTCTGGATTGAGGGAAACTGTCTCTCTGCGGACTAGAATCTTTTAGCTAGTTGCATGTTCAAGGCCACTAGTCGCTCCATCCGTCTCCTTAATGACGGATATCAGAAACAATTACCAAAATAGTCATAAATTTATTATATAAATATTAATTCAGTTTTAATTTTTTTAATTTAGCTAATTTAGTCTTAAATATTTTGACAATTTGTCAATTTAATCTTTTCAGCCAATTAGGCCGCCGTTTTACGTGGCTCGGTTAGCGTAGACGTGGACAATCTTTGTAGCAAAAATCCAATTATGGACATCTGAAATGAGGAAACTCCTAGTGCTCGGGCGGCCCCCTGCCACCTATTCCAATTGTTTAGGAGTGGGATCCGGCCACTTCCTATTAAGATAAGGTTTCCATCTCTCAAGTTCGAAGCCTTTCCTGCTGTTAAAGGATTTGCTGAAATAATTTCTTTATATATGAATAAAGAGCATTTATAAAGTATATCACTAACTATTTTGGTCAGAGATAAAAAATTTCCGCTCTATGATGCTACGTGCCAATACTAAATATTTTAATTGACGCATGAGTAAATATCCTTGTCGAGTCATTATCATTGTTGGCGCTTTTTTTTTATTATCTTTTATCCAAAAGGAATTGTTGTTAACCGAGTAATTAAATGTTGGGAAAATGATATAAACAGTCCATGAACTTTGACATAATGTACAAAGTAGTCCCTAAACTTTTAATTTATTCAATGTGGTCCCCGAATTTTAACCCAATGTACAATATGGTCCCTGAACTTTTAATTTGTACAATGTCGTCCTTGAATTTTTTGTTCATGTTCAATTTAGTTCACATTGAACATTTTCATATAATTCATGAACTATATTGATCATGTACCAAAAGTCCAAAGATCACATTGAGCAAATTAAAAGTTCAGAAACCACATTGAACATTACGCTAAACTTTAAGGACTACATTGAATAAATTAAAAGTCCATAAATTACATTGCATATTGGGCTAAAGTTCAAGGACTGTTTATATTATTATCCCTTAAATGTTCGACTTGATTAAATTAAAGGCCAATGAGATATTTAACTTTTTTCCGCCAAAAAATCCATGTCAACGGGCACACTGCCATTGTCTATTGAGCGGCACATATGAAGCTCCAAACCGTGGCTTGCAGCACGCAATTTCAGAGAGTCAAAACAGCCACTCGAACCCCAACTTGTCGCCTTTCATGCTTCGATTGACATCATCAGAAAATTGCTATTTCTGATGGCGATGGCGAGGCCAATGGATTCAAGGCCCCATTTGAACCGCTGAGCAGATCTTTGTACGTACTGAAAAATATCTCCCATTGAAGTTGGTCAAACGAGTCTCCGAGCTTGCACTGAGCTTTCACTGGTGCGAGATTTTCCCTTCTCGATATGTGTGCACTTGGATTGTTTCGTATTTGGAGATCTCTTTCAATTTTTAGTGAACTCTAGAAGGCACAAATAGTTTGGGAGAAATCAATCAACTCATCTGGTCTTAGATTATGTCATGTAGATTACCACAAAGGAGTCAGTACCGATGGAAGTTTCTCTTTGTTAAGGTTTTGATTATTCTTAATAGAGACACTTGTCTAACACTGTATTATCATTTAATGACATCATGATACTAACGGGAGAATTTTCCGAAAAGTCCTAAACCTATTATACGGTCATCAATTTAGTCATAAACTTTCTAAATTAACCAATGTAGTCATAAAACTTTGAGATAATGACACAAACAATCCCTGAACTTTGACTCAATGTGCAATTTGATTCCTAACTTTTAATTTGTTCAATGTAATCCCTGAACTTTAACCCAATGTTTAATGTGGTCCCTGAACTTTTAATTTGTTCAATGTCATCCCTGAACTTTTGATACATGTTTAATTCAGTCCCTGAACTATATGAAAATGCTCAATACAGACCAAATTGCACATTGAGCCAAAGTTCAGAGATTGTTTGTGTCATTTTCCTAAAACTTTCGATAATTTTTCAATATAGTTTTTTAGGCTAGATATCGTTGACATGGAGTCTAGTCAGCACTGACGTCCTACGTGGCACGACCAGCAATCCGACATGTTCTGACAAAGCTCAAAATGATATCGTTTCGAGAAAAAATTTAATTTAAATTTAATTTCTTTCCTTCGTCTTCCTAGATTTCAGTTGCTAGAGCCTCGGTGATGGCCGGTGACCCTCGCCAACCACTACTGAGGGTGGCACAGCCTTTGACTTTCTACAACTTGACCAATATTTTTTGGAATAGAAGATAGAAATACCTGATTGAGATTCGGATCGGCTCCAAGGGCCACAAGCCTTGCCTTCATCTTCCCTGATTTGCATCTTAGGGCCCGTTTGGTAACGTGCCAAATAGTAAAAATTTCTATTCTTTTGTTCCCAGAAATAGTTTGGGAACAGAAATGCATTTGGTAAACTTTTTGTTCCTGGGCACGTTTTTGCAAAAATTTGTGCCGAGAAACAGTTTTGGAAGAGAAACAAGAAGTAAAAAAAAGTTGCTTCTTGTTTCTCGGCACAATTTTGAGAATAAGTTTTTTTTTTTTTTTTTTTTTCTTTTTTTATTTTTGTGTTGTTCTTCCCATTTGGGCTGCTGCCGGCCACCGGCGACCGGCCGCAGCCCGGGTCCGGGCGAGGGCGTCACGGCCCTCGCCGGCCGCCGGCGGAGGCGAGGGTCGCCCTCGCCGGCGAGGGCGAGGGCTGGACCCTCGCCGCCTGGGCGAGGCGGCCTCGCCCAGATCGAGCGAGGCCGAGCCTCGCCGTCGGTCGCGACGGCGAGGTCGGCCTTGCCCGAGACGGCGAGGCTACGCTTCGCCAGATCCGGCGAGGCCGAGCCTCGCCGTCGCGACCCACGGCGAAGCCGACCTCGCCGTGGGTCGCGACGGCGAGGTCGGCCTCGCCCAGATCTGGCGAGGCCGAGCCTCGCCGTCGCGACCCACGGCGAGGTCGGCTTCGCCGTGGGTCGCGACGGCGAGGCTCGGCCTCGCCGCTCTGGGCGAGGCCGCCTCGCCCGGGCGGCAAGGGTCCCTCTCGCCTCGCCGGCGGGCCGTGATGCTCGCCCTCGCCGGCGAGGGCCGTGATGCCCTCGCCGGCCCTGGGCTGTGGCCGGTCGCCGATCGCCGGCGACCGGCCATGGCCAAAGAAGAAAATGAATAAAAAGAAAAAAAAAATTAAATAATTCAAAATATTATTAAAATATTATTTGGGAACAGAAATTTTGTGTAGTTACCAAAGGCGTTTCTATTCTTTTCTACTCTAGGAATA